TTTTTCTTGTAACACCTCCCTCCCCAGCTATAGAGAAAGCAAATATTGAGCTAGAGGATTGCCTCTCATCGTGTCTCAAGGCAGATCACATGCTCTTCTTCATCTCACAAACTACAATCCAAATTTGATTCCAAGAATGACACAACCATCTACAGGTAGAGTAAGAGGGAGGACGATGGAAATGAAAGAGAGCTAAATGGAGGTGGTTTTCCGGCCTAGAGAATAGATGAAGAAAAAAAAGTGTTGTAGTGGTGGGTGAGATGGAAAAAGATGAAAAAATTGAGGTATTTCAAAATAGGTTATGGGGATAAGCTATTTTGAAATCTGCAAGTGAGGGTTTTCGAAATTCGACAAGAGCCATTTCCAAACGAGTAATTTGGACGAAATCCTACCAAATGAGAAATTTAGAAAAAATCCCTAATTCAAAACTCTCATCCAAACAAACCCTAGTATTTTCAGTATCGTCTTCATTCCTTCCTATACATAAAACATAAAATCCTAAAAACCACCTACGTTTTCACTCTAAAGCATTGTGCTTATCACAAGAGGTGTCAATCGGGCGGGTTTGGGTTGGTCCAGGTTGGGTTCAATCAGGATTACGGGCTAGTCAAGTTTCGGGTTCATCGGATTGCAGGTTCATTGGGTTGCGGGTCAGTCAAGTTACGGGTTGATTGAGTTACAGGTCAATCGGGTTGTGGGTCAATCGTGTTACATATTTATCGAGTTACGTGTCGGATGAGTTGCGAGCGGATCGGGTTACGAGTTGTTCAAGTTAGCTCATTATCTTACTTACTCTTTACTCGTTACAACTTAGTGACTTACATTATTTTCAAACATTTGTTTCGTAATTTTTAGAAAATTTATTTCTACCCCATATATGTACTTATAATTTTTTTTTTGGGTAGAAGTACCTATAAAATTTTATAAACTTGCCATAAATTAATTTTGTATTCTATTAGATGATTGAGTTGTAGCAGCCGAATGACTCATCAGACTAAGGTTAACCCTCATTTTGAAACCAAAATGTAACTCAAGCACAACTTAAATGAGAAAAATCTTTAGCTTAGAAGTTACAACAAATGTAGAAGCATAGAAAACACGCGTACACAAATTAAGTGAAATTTTAATAAAACAAATTATTGTTGAAACTGATTGTGAATTTAATTACTAAATTCGTAAAAAAAAAATCCTATATACATCTTAAGCTTTAAATTATATAACTTCATATTCTAAAAATAGTAAAATTAGTTCATATAATTATATAAAGTACGTTATTTTTCAAAAGCTATTAAATTAGTTCATATGATGGGTGCTAGATTATGTCATGTGTACCATAACAAAAGAGATATTTTATTATGATCAGATGACTCATGATATGTTCTCAAATATATTATTACCGATTAGTCTTGCCCAATAAAGTTAAAACAAGGTTTACTATTGACAATGTCTTACTGAATGCTAAACTCTTAACTCATAATCGATAAAGATTGTGATAATCACATTGGTATATAATTAAGTATATTATCTATAATATAAAATAGCATATATCATAAGATAGTTTGAGTGACGTTATTGAGATAAGATAACTCATGATATGCTTCCAAATCTACTATATCCAATTTTCCGTGCTATATAAGGCTATAATTAGGTTAACTATAGACAATATTTTTTCACCAAATGTTAAACTCATCATATGTAAATATGGTTTTGAACTTTCGTATTTTGAACTTTCCTTTACAAAATGAAAAACATGGTTTTATTTATATTTAGAACAAAAACTTCATTTTCAAAGACTGCATGTTCTATTATACAGTAATTATTCAAGTCAATCGGGCGGGTTACGAGTTAGTCAGAGTTGTGTCAATCGGGTTACAGGTTGAATTGGGTTGCAGGTCAATTGAATTTGGGTTAATCAGGTTATAGGCCAGTCGGGTTACGGGAGGTGCTGGTCAATCGAGTTGACGGATTGCAATCAGATTACAGATTGAATTGATCAGGCAGGTTACTTGGATCGGGTTATGTTTTTGACACCTCTACTTATCACTAGCAAATATTTTGGGATGACTCTGTTGAGAGTTTACAAGAAGCCATATGCATGTAGACAACTTTCATTAATATCATATTACGAATCTATCAACTTTTGATTAGTATCTATTAACTGTGGCTTGAGTTGGTAGATAGAAAAACTTTACCCATCCAAAATCATTATTGCCAGTGGCCGGTTACTTGCTTTATGTCGGGTACAGTGGCAGAGGGAGAGGGTAACAGGGTGGATCCCGAGACCTACCCTAGTTCGGGAGAAATGGTTAAATTAGGTAGGATAGTTAATTGATATCGAAAACTAGGTCGCGTTTAATTGAGAATAGTTGGTCGAAAAGTTTTGTGTTTGAACCTTGGCGACCTCATTTCTTAAGCATACGTTATACAAATTTGTGCAAACATAATTTCGTATAAGTTGACTTTTTTATAAGGGAGCATGGTAGTATATGGTATAATATATTATTGAAATCTTCCAACAACTCGATTTATTGATACTAAATTTTTTTTAAGAACATCATTCGGAAGCGAGCGATTAGGTAAATCATGAATTATTGGTTGGTATAAATTTATTATTAAACCTCTATCAACAACTCGAGGTATTGATACTAACGGTTCTTAACAAAGAACATCATTTGTAGCACTACGAGTCTACGGCTAACTAAATCAATAATTGTTTGGTATATATGCAGAGTGATATTCTTGATATTTTTTACCGCAAATGCATTTTAATTTATCAATAGTTTTCAACGTATGATTATATTAAAAAAAGGTTTAATTCACCTGCATATTCATAACTATCCACATTTTGACAACAATAGCCACTTTTTAAAAAATACACAGTTGTAGCCACATTTTAGAAACTCGTTTGACATAATTAGCCATTTCCGTTAAAAGATTTGACACCGTTAACAGGACGCTGATGTGGATGTCACCTCAGCTCCCACATCACCTCCAACACCAAGTCATACCACCTAGCTGCCACATCATATTTAAAATAAAATAAAAAATTATCATTTCAAAATTATTTCTTTTTTTTTTCACTTTCCTCGTCGGGCTCTCCTTCTCGGCTTCTCCCATCTCGTCCCTTCCCCTACGACGGCTCTCCTTCTCAAAATCAAAATCCCACAAACCCTTCCCAGATCTCTTTCCTTTGCCCAAAACTTTCAGATCCACCACCCTAATCCTACGTCCCAGAAACCAAAGATCTAATTTTCATTTTTCCTTTTCACCAATTGAAAATCCCTAAGACCAAAAATTCCCAAATCTCCAGATCGAGTTCTCCTTCCATTCCAGCCCGAATCCGTTCATCATACGTCCAGTGGCTGGGTCAACGTTGCACAAGCGAAATCACCTCCCCCTCGTGTTCAGTTCCACAGACGACTCAGCCGATTGTGAAGAGCCCAGTGGTCGAGAATCCGCCGCTGTTGATGGCGTCGCCGTCGAGCACTGTTCGAGCCAGACCCCGGCGAGAGCACCGAGGGGACGAAACCCATAGAGGAAGAGGCGGCAACGAGATCCCATATGCTGTTAGAATGGAGTTGTTCGACAAGCTGAAAAGCCGCCTGTGAAGCAGCCGCAGGAGAGCAACCCAGTCGATGAGAATCCACTTTCGGTAGAAGAGTCGGATGAAGATGAAGACTTAGAGAAAGCCCCCGTTGGCGAAGAACCACAAATAGGGTCGTTGCCCTACACTACTCTGCCCGTGAAGAAGCTTTCTTTGTTGTTAAGATGAGCCCCCGCCGCCATTCTTTCGTCGTCATTACTTTCCCTTCTCCGTAGCAGCGACAGTCGTCTTGGAGGGGAGGGAGAGCAATAGCAGGAGAAAATGGCGTCGAAGATCTCACCCCTATTTCGCCAGCTAGATCTCAACCACCGCATCTGCTGGGAATCCCTAGAACAACCACCGCAACCAATTGGAGACCAGGGTCATTGATTCCAGAACAAAATCCACCGAGAGATGCGAGGAGGTTAGTCGCGGAGAGGGAGATGTATTGGTGGAGAGAGAGAGAGAGCGATCTGAGAATCGCCGACCCGCTCCTCCTCCTTCCGCCACCAACACCTTATACCTCTGTTCTCGCCTTCTCCGAGCTGCCTGGGATTTTTGAATTGTGGAATTTTTGTTCCATTGGTTTTGTATATTGGGGATTTGTGGAGAAGAGTAGATGAAGATGGGAAGTCACAGAGAATATGAAGAAGGGATTTTGAGGCTGAAGATTATGAAGCGGCGACGGGAAGGAATGCCATGGCAGCCGCAGGGAAGGTCAAGCGGCGATGATATTCATTTCTCTTTTTATTATTTTTTTTTCTTTTTTTCCATTTAATATTATAATAAATAAGTCATTTCCAACTTGGCAAGATCAAGATGAAAAGTCAGCCACATCAGCAAGTGACGTTAGTCCAGTCAGCATTTGTCACTGTTCTGTTAAACTTATGGACGGAATGGCTATTTTAGTGTATTATTCAAAATTTGGCTATATTTGTCAAAACGTGCATAATTATGGCTATACAAGTGTATTAAACCTTAAAAAAAACTATTTTATCATATTTATTTTTTTGAGGTGAACCCACCTTAAACAAAATCCTGACTACGCCACTGGTCGGGTTCTCCTCAATTTTAGTATTTGATTAAACTAATTACCTTTATTACTTCTCATCATTTTTAATATTTGATACTGAATGCATATGCATTCATCGGTTGGAGACAAACAATATATGTTTCCCCTTGTTCCATGCATTTTGATTGCATCCATATATCCCAACATTTTCATTGAATGCAATTAGCTAGACAAACTAGATAATAAATATATCCGCCTAAACAAATTAGACGATCTGCAGTACTCGAGAGTTGTACGCAGGTTACTTATTACTAGTTATTTTCTTACAACCATTTTCTGCCACCTTCAATGCATTCTACGAAGAAGAACTACTTAACCTACGATAAAACTTTACGGCCGGTTGTGTCACTGGTAGAAATGGTGGCCATCCTCGGAGTAATTGCCCAGAAGCTCCTCCAATACGTTATCATCCAGATACTCCAACTCTATCACTTCACCGTCATGCTGCCCCGCGGAGGCCGCGGAAGCCTCAGCCGGAGCGGACCCATAGTGGAAGCTATTCGACGAGGAAGCCACCAATGGCTGCTGCAGGGAGTAACCGCTATTAGCAGGATCCGAACCATAGTAATGACCGTGGTGCGTGGCTTGGTACTCATTGGGAAAGTTGAGTATGGCCAAGTGACCCCTAAAGGCGAAGGCGGCTCGGTCGTAAGCACGAGCCGCCTCCTCCGCGGACCCAAAAGTCCCCAGCCATCTCCTCGCCCCGTTCCTCGTCGGGTCCCTTATCTCCGCCGCAAACTTGCCCCACGGCCTCTTCCGTATCCCTCGATACTGCGGCGGCGGCTCTCGATCATCATCGTCTCTCCTTCTTCCGCCGTCGGTTGGTGACCTCCTCCTCGGGGCTACGCCGTCACCATAATTATCATCATCGTAGTTCCTATCCATACCTTGTTGGGTTTGTAAGAACAAAAAGAATTTTTTGAGGGGTATTTAGTTAAAGGAGAGAGACTTCTATTTTGGAAGTCTGTCACGATCGTGGGCTGCTGCTATGTCCATTGAAGGGAGCTAGGCGTCCATATTTATAGGTGGAAATGTAGAGGGAGGAGTCAGCTTTGACGTTCGGGAAAAATTCCCAGTGGTCTTTGGAGATGTGAGATAAGAGTATTCCTTCGGAGCCTCCTCCAATAATGTTGCGGCCATTGGGCTAAGCGGCTGAAATTAAATTGGCTTCCTTGTTGTGTTTGAATCTGCTACAAGAATTCCAACAAATAATAAAATAGAGTGGACCGAGCTTGGTTTCTGGTGTTTTGATTGGATGGGGAGAAAGCAGCTAAAAAATAGTTTACTGCTGGGTGTGCGGTGGAGCCCTGTGGTTGTCCCTTTTGGTATTATAAAATGGAATTTGGGAGATGAATTGGGTCAAATGGGTCACAAACCCTCCTCCAGGTTGTTTTGGCTGAGGTTGTGGTGCTGTCATTGTGCAGTCAAGGGGCGGATACGGGACCATTTCGTGGTTAGGAACTGGTAGTGCTCTGTCATTCTATCGTCACATCATCGTATGTGAAAATATTCTGATTTGTTCACAATGTATAGGCTGATCAGCGTTACTTCTAGCCAAGTTACATATAAGGTGAGTGTTACAAGGTTATATACTTGGCACCCATCGATGGATGGGGAGATGAAAGAGTAGTGATAATATATTGGTAATTTCGACTATGATTTGTATGACTATCTGGTTCGCTTGACACCGCAGCAATCTGCTTTAAATAATCGTTCGGATTGTGATCGAACCAAGCAAACCAACGATCTTTACATAACCCGGATCGTGACCAACCCAAGAAAACCGCCCTAAAAACAATGTGGATAGAGGAGCATAGTAGCGAACCGCAATAGTTCATTGAGGACACCCGCGATCTTTACCTAACCTAGGTAGAAACTTCCAACGAATATTAACTTTTCTCTCTATTAACCGATCGTAAAGGATTTTTTTTATTTAACATAAATTTTCGAGGACTACAATTTTTCTATAGAAGTTTTTTTAGAATGTATATAAAAATGTGAAAATTAAAACTAAAGTTATTCTGAAACCCCCTTATACCCAAAAACATTTCCTCTTTTGGAAATTTCTTCCTAGTAAAAGTTGACGTCGTTGAAAATATTAGAAAATAAATTAAAATTTTGGCGATGATCGGATATGCTAGCTTAAAGTTGTGATCGTCTGAAGTTTGGCAAAATACAAAATAACATGTTTCGGTAGAAACAAAGTTTTAAGCGAGAAAGGCGGACCAAAGTTACGTCTGTTCAAAGTTATGCATAATCAAAAAGCAATTCGCTATAATCGAGCACAAAGTTACTTTCATTCGAAGTTTTAACATAGGTTATTGGGGGCTAGATCGACGTATTCGTCAGCTTTCAGTGTGGTTCGCTGCAGTCACCAGCGATCCACCCTGGATTGCGGCTGACAAAAACAAACTAGTTTGGATCGCTTTTGCCAGCCGTGATCCATAGAGATTCAAGGTTTGTTCGCTTTGGCTTAGCACGAACCTATTCGGTTTGTGACCATCTACTATAGAACACTCCAGTGTCAAGCGAACTAGGTAGTGGTTCGATTGACACAAAATCGAAGTCCTCCAAATCAAGTATTTTGGGAAATATTTTTCCAAGAGTTGTATTGTGAGAATTTTTTTTATTAAACCTTGTATTTTGGAATTTGCCCCGTCATCTAGGGGTGGACAACAAGAAATGGGTATTTGGTATAATCATACCCGTCCCTTTTTTTAGGGATACGGGTTCCCAAATACTCCTATTTTTGACGGTATAGAACTTGGGATCAAGAATCTCTACTTTAGGTACCCGCGGGTTATCCGTTAATACCCGTTTGGGTATTATAGGTACCCGTTATATCTATTAGTCAAAAAACCTAAAATCCAACTATCAACTGCTGCTACTCCCAACTGTCGCCGCTAACTACTTCATAGCCGGATTTCTCCCTCAAGAGTCGACTGTTAGAGGCTTGAGAAGAGGTACACTTTCTCTCAAGAGCTGATTGTTTTGGTGTTTTACTATTGATGTGAGCAAAAAGCTGGATTGTCGATGGGTTATGTATGCAAATAGTTGGATTATAGTTGAATTATCGAGGATTGAGAAGAGGTGTGAGTGTGACTAAGCCTAGCTTACTCTCACAGTAGCCTCTTTAGCTTCTCATTATTAATTAGGTGGGTTTGTTTAATTGTGTGTTAAAAATTTTGTAGTTCTTCCACCAATTGGACAGCTATTTACTGGTCGTATAGGTACCCGTTAACCCGTACGAGTTTGGGATATGGGATGGAGATTGTTCTCCAAATGGGACTGGGTACCAGTTTGAAATGGGACGGGTATCCCGTCACGTCCCGTGGCCCACCCATACCTTTTATCTTTAAACTGATGAGATCATTATCCATTATGTTTGTCCATGCATTCACAAATTATTACCAGTGGAAAAAAATTATTCATTATATACATTCGTTTATTTTCTTTAGAAATTTAAATTAATTCCATCGGTTACAAAACAAGTATTGAACGAACTTTTAATCTTTAGGTTATGTTGCATGGTAATTTACACATATTTGTGCCCTCGATATTTGATTGTTTCTTGACCATTTAACTTAAAAATCTCTATCCTTAGTCGATTTTAAGTAAGGTTGTTTACTTTTTGCAAAATACACTTGTATAGCCAAAACTTTCACGTTTGTGTCACTTATAGCCACTTTTGGCGAAATACCACTTATAGTCACTTCCGTCCAATTCTTTAACGGTGTTAGTGTTAAAGTCTGACTGGACAAACAGAGATGTTGACGTGGTGAGCATTTCTGGCCAAATTTGCTGATGTGGCAGTTTTATATAAAAAACATGTCAAATAAAAATGTATTACCTTCTAATGAGGAAAACAAAAAATAAATAAATAACAAAAATGATTGGAAAAATCAACCTCTTCCTCTCTCTTCTCCACCACCGTCCAACTTCCTCCTTCCTCCTCCTTTCTTTTCCACGACCATCCCACTTCCTCCTCCTTTCTTCTCCACCACCGCTCCTCTGCTGCTCCAACATCGAACGAAGTAGATCGTAGATCTGGTGGCCATGACTTCTTTCCCTATTCGAATCATTCTTCACGCTCTTCACTGCTGATGTTGGAGCAGTGATCAATCGCCGAGGAGAGAAGGGGCCACTAGCGAGAGAGATTGATATGGTTTTCAAGCATCCGCCGCAACCTCGATCTGACTCTGGATTTGGTGGCGCCGCCACCATCCGCTCCAAGTTTCATCGCGCTCTGGGAACATGGAATGGAGATATTGAGAAGCGGCAGCGGCGGAAGAAAATGAAGATCTAGAAGCTACTGCTGCAACAACTGCGAGGTAAGAGAAAATGGAGAAGAAAGCGATTGCGTCCTTCGAATCCTGCATCTTGAATTCTACCTCCATTACAGAGTCGATACGGGGAAGAAAGCGGAGATGCAGAACACCAGAAACACCATCTATCTCCGCCTGCATCTAGGTGTCATCGATCTGTCCCCGCTGCGCCGCTCACCATCTATCTCCGTCTGCATCTGGCCACCATCTTCCTCTACGGAGGGTAGAACTCTGACAGACGACATCAAAAGAGGCGAGATTGATGGGTGGAGATTTGGATTTTTGTTCGGTTTTGGAAACGAATCCTCCTTCGTCACTCTTATTGGGAATTTTGTTTGGTTTTGGAAAGGATTAATTATTTTATTTTTATTTTTCCAGATTAATGGTGATTGACGATGGGATAAATCGGTTGTGTACAGAGAGGAATGGAAGGCGATTAAGAGAAACGAGATTTTAATTTTTTTTTATAATTTAATTTAGTAATTAAATATTAAATAATTAAAATATCTGACGTGTCACTATTTGCTGATTTGGTGCTGACGTGTCCGCTGATTTGGCGCTGACGTGTCCGCTGATTTGGCGCCTAGTCACCAAATCATCAAATAAGTTGACGGTGTTAATAACACCGTTAAAGTATCTAACGAAAATGGCTATATTTGGCACGCAACATCTTTAAAAAATGGCTATAAGTGGTATTTCGCCAAAAGTGGCTATAAGTGGCACAAACGTGAAAGTTTTGGCTACACAAATGTATTTTGCCTTTACTTTTTACATATTTCATGTCCTAGTGTGTGGTGAAGGCTTATGAGCAAGTTTCTTGACATTTGGAGTCTAAAATGGAATGAAGGATCCCAAAGAAAAAAAGGCACAACCAGAAGAAAGAAATTGAAGCCCTTGAATATTGAATTTAAGGTCGTGAAACACGTCCAGAAACTCTGATGGAAACATAGCCAATTCTATGAAATTCACGAGCAACTTCTTGGAAGTCACGACCGTGACTTTCCCCCTACAGGCGATGACTTTTCCTCTGAGTTACTTATCCATTGTGCTGCGTTTTGGAAAGTCACAGGGATAAATTTCTCACCCCCGTGAACTCCATATCGTGACTTTTGCCTATGTTCGGGTATAGATAGGTTTTCTACGATATTTCCAAGGGAGAGTTGAGTTTTGGACTGAAAAACACCCAAGGGACGGACCCTAAAAACAGAATTCAAACCTTGAGAGTCTAGGGAGTGAAATTTAGAGTTTTTCCAACTTTAGAACTCAAAATAGATTCCTAGAAGAGAATCTGAGACCGGAAGAAGAATCAAGTCATCAATCAAGAAGTCAATTCCCTTCCCTTCGGTGATTTTTTCTCTTTTCATGGAGTAAACTTCCTCTTTCACTTGGGTATGAGAAACCCTAGTCATGTTTTGTTGAATTAATGATTGTATGAGTACCCCAACTTATTAAACTCCAAGTTCATATTCAATCGATGCATAATTCATCAATTATTTTTGCCTTGATCAAGTACTGATGATTTCTTCTTTGACCTAGGAGAGAGATTCTACCAAATTAGGT